CGAACGAGGCTACGCCGAAGGGCGGAGTCTCTTTCGGGGAGGTAAACCGACCCTGAACCCGTTTAGTCGGGTTTTAAAAGGGCGTATTTTTGGCCGAGCCCACGGGCTCGGAGATCCCACGTTAAATCGGCCTTGTGCCACATGATGCCCTCGTGGGTGGGGGTGACTGAATATCGCTCAGTGGTTCGGTCTGATTTCAATCTGAAGTCGGACGACCGGCTGACCGGTTGAACTCTCTGCCTTCGGACAGGGAGGAACCCGAATGAGGCTACGCCGAAGGGCGGAGTCTCTTTCGGGGAGGTAAACCGACCCTGAATTCGTTTAGACGGGTTTTAAAAGGGCGTATTTTTGGCCGATCCCACGGGCTCGGAGATCCCACGTTAAACCGGCCTTGTGCCACATGATGCCCTCGTGGTGGGGGGTGACCGAATATCGCTCAGTGGTTCGGTTAGTCAGTCGATGCCGGACGACCGTTAGTTGGATACTAAAGTATCAGCGACCACAACTAGATTTCTCTGCTTCATTACCTATTATATCAAGTTCCTAACGTTTTGTACGTCGAACCTAATTTAGGACCGACTTAGTACAAATACAAGCCTCCACTGTGAAACCACTCCATAGCAACATCCAAGCTTACAGCACCTGGTATTCCCAAACGGTCACCTATCTAAGTACTGTACAGATTCGACGTTGCTTAACTTTGGTAATTGTTCAGGAGTGTTTCAGTGTGATGTGACAGTAAAAAAAATTCAAAGGAAGAAAAACAAAGAAAAAATTGATAAAGATTATTTAATTATAATAAAATTTTAATCTAGAGAAGGGGTATAAAAGAAATAATGAAAAAACAAATGAAACAGATCGCATATCACTAAGAAAATTAAGTTTCCATATTTTGCGGCGTACGATTTTTTTTCTTCTTCATAAGCTAACACTTGAAATAACTTTGACTTCTGCACGACGAAGCCAGGCTTAGGTTGAATCTTTGGATTTGCGAATTTCGCCAAGTCGTATTTCCGATTTTATTTTTCTTATAACCATCATGATAAATTGAGGGTGTGTTCTATGTGTCTTACTGTTAAATGTCAAATACAAAGGTGGCGGTTATCAGTTAGGAGGGGTCTGTAATTTTTCACAATATGCAATAAACTGTTTCTGTTAATAGAATGTGAGTCTGAAAACCATTTCAAATGTAGAAAATGCGTAAGTTTCAACGGGAGAGTCGGAAATAGGAACATTTCCCCCAAAATCTATGAATCCTGCGAACGTCGGCCGTCAGGCTTGTAATGATATAAGTCTCTTTCCACCTATCTTACTTTTCCACCTCTCTCTTTCCACCTCTCACTCTTTTCACCTCTCTCTCTTTCCACCTCTCTCTTTCGACCTATCTCTATTTCCACCTTTCTTTCTTTCCATTTCACTTTCTTTCCAACTCTCTCTCTCTTTCGACCTATCTCTATTTCCACCTCTCATTCCACCCATCTCTCTTTCCACCCCTCTCTCTTTCCACCCCTCTCACTCTTCCCCTCTCTCTCTTTCCACCTCTGTCTCTCTTTCCACCTCTTTCTCTCTTTCCACCTCTCTTTCCACCTATCTTTCTTTCCACCTCTCTCTCATTCCACCTCTCTCTCTCTTTCCACGTATCTCTCTTTTCACCTCTCACTATTTCCACCTTTCTTTCTTTCCATTTCACTTTCTTTCCATCTCTCTCTCTCTCTTTCCTCCTATCTCTCTTTCCTCCTATCTCTCTTTCCACCTCTCTCTCTCTTTCCACCTCTCTCTCTCTTTCCACCTCTCTTTCCACCTATCTTTCTTCCCACCTATCTCTCATTCCACCTCTCTCTCCCTTTCCCCGTATCTCTCTATTCATCTCTCTCTCTTTCCACCTCTGTCTCTCTTTCCACCTCTGTCTCTCTTTCCACCTATCTTTCTTTCCACCTCTCTCTCATTCCAGCTCTCTCTCTTTCTACGTATCTCTCTTTTCATCTCTCACTATTTCCACCTTTCTTTCTTTCCATTTCACTTTCTTTCCAACTCTCTCTCTCTCTCTTTCCACCTATCTCTATTTCCACCTCTCTTTCCACCTATCTCTATTTCCACCTCTCTTTCCACCTATCTCTATTTCCACCTCTCTTTCCACCTATCTCTATTTCCACCTCTCTTTCCACCTCTCTCTCTTTCCACCTCTCTCACTCTTTTCACCTCTCTCTCTTTCCACCTCTGTCTCTCTTTCCACCTCTCTTTCCACCTATCTTTCTTTCCACCTCTCTCTCATTCCACCTCTCTCTTTCTACGTATCTCTCTTTTCACCTCTCTCTATTTCCACCTTTCTTTCTTTCTTTCTTTCTTTCTTTCTTTCTTTCTTTCTTTCTTTCTTTCTTTCCATCTCACTTTCTTTCCAACACTCTCTCTTTTCACCTATCTCTATTTCCACCTCTCTTTCCACCTATCTCTAAATTCACCCCTCTCTTTCCATTCTCTCTCACTCTTGCCACCTCTCTGACATTTCGTGCGTGCTTATTTATATTTCAGCTTACTTTAAAAAAACATTATTTTGAATATTTAAAAAATATTTTTGCCATATTTAAAAAAGATTTTCACGTGAATATGAGTTAAAATATTTTTTAATATGCCAAAATTTATATTTAAGTTAATCTCATTTTAAAAATATTTTTAAGTTCAAAAATACGAATTGTTTATACAGTATTTTTATTTCAACTTTCTTCAGACAATATTTTTTTTATGTTGAAATCAACTTCAATGTTTTATGACATGAACCGACAGTGACCTACCGGGTCACGTGTGTTCTCGTAATAAATAAAAATAAACATACCGACTTCTATTTTTCTTTGTGTAGCGATCAATGCTCTCCACAGCTTCTGTCCTTTGTAGCTCTTAATAAATTTTGTCTTTTTGTTATTTCTCCTAGAATCTGTTTCGTATTCCAATTACTCAAACTCCCTATGTTATATGCTCTTTTCATATGTCGCTCCTGCCTTTAATCATTTCTGTCATTAGCCAATTTTTAGGAAATGAACAATGCATACGGATCTGTATAACTTATTGCTGTTATTATAGCTATTTACTAAACGGATCATAGATAAAAGGCCCCAAGTACACAGCACCTAGTGGTGATCAAACTCATTACTCATTAGTAAATTTGCTGTCATTTTCTGGGTGTTATATATATATATATATATATATATATATATATATATGGATAGAACGTATGTAAATATAAAAGTGGTCATTTACCTCACCACCCAATGGCCACAGGCTGTTTCATCCTTAAACGCAATCGTAAGGCCTGGTCAAACGCAATCGAAATACGTGTCGTGGTTCGCATTATCGTCCAGTTCAAATTCCTCCCCATCATTTACACAGGAGTAGAGGTTTATATCTTGTCCCCCTTTTCAATATATATATATATATATATATATATATATATATATATATATATATTATCACTTCGCTAGGGGACAAATGATTATATATATATATATATATATATATATATGTGTGTGTGTGTGTGTGTGTGTGTGTGTGTGTAGCTGGCCACCCGTATTCAAGGATACCCGTCTACTAGGTCGGCTATCCAGTCCCTATTGCAGACGCTTGTTCAGGCGCATTTGTGTTTATTTAACACCCACGGAGCCAACGTGTGGTTTATACTGTAATTCTGCTGAGCAGGCCTTAGTTACAGTTTCTGCGAAAGAGCGTGTTATCTAGAGTGATTAACAATTTGAAGAAGCTCAGCATGCTCAAGCCCTCGGTCACGATGACTTGTGACTTTATGCTAGCACAGGGTTCCAAGGGTTCCATCTACATAATTTCACTCAAAAGGCTTGGGTCAACCCGTGGTATGGTTTTCCAGGCACTTTCCAAAGGTGCCCCACGCTGAGATCGACCCCTCCACTAGGATAACATCAAGAAGTCTCCTACCTGAAAAATCGTACATGGTGAGATTCGAACCCGTGTCTCATGCTCAGAATGCGAACGTTCTAACTACTCGCCTGCGTTCCCATCCCTCTGTATCTGTCTCTCTCTCTCTCTCTCTCTCTCTCTCTCTCTCTCTCTATATATATATATATATATATATATATATATATTAAGAAATGGACAAGGTCCGACAATTTATTTATTAAAGACATTTTTTTTTATGTTTAACGTTGTTATTTTATAGATACAAGTATTTAAGCAAATGCTCTGTTTATGATAAACAGTATTAAATAACATTTACCGGCCTGAATGTCCGAGAAATTTTCATAGAAAATATTCGTTCTTTGACAGGATTCGAACCTATGAAAATATATATATATAGAGAGAGAGAGAGAGAGACAGAGAGAAAGACAGACAGAGAGAGAGGGACAGAGAAAGAGAAAGAGTGGGAGCGGTAGAAAGAGATGGAGAGGCAGAAGACAGACTGACAATGAATCAAAGAGTGGCTATTCTCCATATATACAGATACAAAAGAGAGTATTCCCCAGAAGCTGTAATCTGAATTCAACTCATAATCTACAGAATCTATGTATTTGTCTATTTATGCAATTAAGCAGAAACATTTACTTTAATTGTCTTAAAAATTTATAAAAATATACGTTTGAAAAAGACAGAGAAAAAGAGATAAATCGTGAATAAATTATTCGTAATATCATTAACAATTTTGAAAATGTTGATGTTTTTTTTTTAATTATTTCTGTTGCTTGTTAAAGCAAATTTCAGACCATACACCGATCATTATTAAACTACTGCCTTCCCTGTTACGCCACAAACATTCGCTGGGGACAGGCACACGGTTAATGACTCTGGTTGAAATCTTTCCAGGAGATTATTTCTTATCTATGATCCCCCCTACTTAATAACGATCGTAGAATGAAAGTAGGAATAAGAGGAACGAAAGTCAAATATTAAAAACTGTCAATGCTTAACTAAAATAATTCGAATATAACGATTATTATTTCTACTATATTTAATATATTTCCATTTAAAGTAATAAACATAATTAAATTTTGATATATTTATAAAACTTCACAATTATTTCAAAATGAATAATTAATAAAAAAATCATTATTTTAATCATTTCACCTCTCAAGGTGTTAAGACGCAATAGGTTACCGGGAGAGGAAGGGAATGAAAAAAAAATTATTAGGTGAAAGGTCAATAAAAAGACAGAAATCAGGAAGACAACAGATGGTGATTGACATTGCACTTAAATTACTGATGATTTTAAGTGACAGAGAAACCAGAAATCGGAAGAGAGTTCCACAGTAGAGAAGTGCAAGAGAAGAAACTATTAGAATAGAATATACGGTTACACTATTCCAACGCTAAAACGATAACATCTTGCAGCCAGTCTTTTAGTCGGCATCTTCATATATTTGAGGTACAAAGAAGGAGAGTTCATTACGACAATTGCCATGCAAACATTTAGATAAAAGACAGACGGAAGTCACGGTACGGCGGTGAGAAAATGGCTGAAGACGATATGACATCAGAACTGATAACTATAGAAACCTTTTGCATTTTATCTAGAATCTCAAGATATATAGCTGGTTCACCAGACTAAATATGACAGCAATATTCAGTGCAGGGACCAATGCTGGATTTATAAATGTAATTATGATTAGAAAATTGTTTGGAACAACACAGTGAATCAACCTTATTAACGGAAGATGTCGACTGATTAATGGCAATGTCTGAAAATTAAAAGATGAAACGAAATTCTCAGTTCGAATAAAAGCAGTAAACAAAGCAAGAAAATCAGACTTTTTTCTAATAAAAAAAATATGTTTCGGAGAATGCAAGGATGCTGTTTGCACTCAATATCAAACCGGGCCCTCGACCTGAGATTGTTCCAGCCATCTCTATTCGGTCTTGGATGCGTGGAAAAGAATTGTAGTACGCCAGTCAGTTATGTGACATGCGTGATACACGCTTAGGCGATCATGTATCTCTTGATAAATGACTGACGAAGCAGATTTTTTCCCACAGTAGGTTGCCATTTCTTTCTGCGGTAGACCAGTTGCCACGCAAGATTAGAGATCAGATCTGTCCTGTTATTTACCAATAGCTGGGGGAGAAGAAGAGGATTCATACCTTTCCTAAGGGTATTAGCACGTAAGTGAATATAATAGATTTGACTGGAATTCGAACTCAGCTCTTCGATTCGTCAACCCGAGCCTTCACCCATTCTCATTCTTTCACTGTGTTATATATATATATATATATATATATATATATATATATATATATATATATATATATAAAATGTGAACAGAATAGATGGACAGTCAAACATCGCAGTTAAGAATGTAAGGTCCACATACAGGACGAGGAGGGGGCGTGTTGTCAGACATACTAACGGGGAGTAATTGACTACTAACTCTCATTCTCTATATCTTTTCCCTTCAGGAATGGCGATCATGTCTCTCCATATTTGTAGCTCTTTGCAATATTTGTCGTTTTTGCTATCACTCCTAATCCCTGTTCAGCCATACATTTGCATAAATTCGTTACGTAAGTTATTCATTACTTTCCACCACCTCCCTTGCCTTCAATATATCCTGTGAATGTTAAATTTTCTGAGCCGTCTTTCTTAATACTCTAGAAATGTCAACTGTCTTTTAACTGATTCTAAGTGCGTCATTTCTTTATCTTCGCCTTTGTTCACGTGTTCATTTCCTATTATCAATATCCTTCTGTCGAAACTCATTTCTCTTGCCCCATTCCACTTCTTCATCTGTGAGCCGGTTTTCCAGAATTCACTACTGTATAGGAGGACCGATATGACATAACAGTCCATTACTCTTTCCTTGTTTCGAAATAATGGAGTAAAATAAACTCTAATGTTAAATATGAAAGACTCAAGTTCGTATTATTCATTTGCCTACACGTGAAATACTCTCGTTGACACAACGATTTCATTACACGTGACTGTGTAAAAAATCATGTGCTATCCGTGAATACAACTCACTTGCAGATGTTTCCGACAAGAATCCAGTACTACATTTGCGATTATATTATTCACTGAAAATTGTGTTTGGGAAAGTTGAGCTTCATGTCCTGATAAACCGTAATATTACTTTTTTGCACATTTGACTCCTCTTTTCAAACCATCTTGTCAGCCATTCAATGTTATTATGTGTATATAATGCCTGTTAGAGCCAACGTGCATGTACGCATGCTCCAGGTGACAAACAGTTACAGGAAAATTTGCCTGCATCGAAGGCGCTGGTGATGAAATTAGCAATTACATCTTGTGCGAACTGAACAGTGGGAACCGTATGACGGGGAAATATATGGATCATTTTGTCATTTAGCCGGGTAGATAGGACATTTTATGAAGGATTGCTTCCAGGCAGAGTGGCAGTGGAAGATGTTTAACAGGATATCAATGGAAGTTTGTTTTGTTTTTTTAATGGAAAGAAAGGAAAAAAAAAAAGGAGGAAAGATAAAAGATGAAAGCAAAATCAACAGTGGAGAAAGAATAAAACAATGAAAAAA